TCTTAACCATTGTCTCATATATATTAAATTTTCTCCTTTTTGTTATCTCCGTGCTTCACAAGATGCCATTCAGACATCCTATTATCTTTTTAGCTGTAACTATTCGTTTTTCTATCTCTTTCACATCTGTTCCGCTATGGTCGAATGTGATACATAAAAATATTCATATTCTTGACATTGAAGAATTTCTTGACCGTTGTCCAACTCCAAATTTTCGCTCTGAGAGCCTACACATAGATATTTCGTTTTATTTACGTTAACTGTCAAGCCCCATTCCTTATACTCTTCTATCAGCTTTCTAATCATATATTGCATGTCGTCTTTGTCATTGTCTATAACCTGATCATCTGCAAACTGAATAGTAAACAGGTATCTGTCATCTATCTCTATACCCATTCCGTGTATTTTCCTTTTCCAGTTCTTAAGTGCCGCTGCTACATATATTTTGAGGAGAGATAGGACATCCCTGACGTAGTCCCTTATTCACTATGAAGGCATCTGTGAGTTTTTTACCTATCTTAATTCTTGATTGTGAATTTTCATACAGTTCTTTAAGTGCAGCTACATAGTTGTGATTGATGTTCGTTTGTTCTAATACCTTCCACAATCTCGATATTGGGACTGTATCATATTCTTTTTGTAGGTCCACAAATGTAAGATGGGTTTCCAGATGTCTAGCCGATCTCTTCTCTATGACTTGTTTTAGACAAAATACGTTGTCGGTACACGATCTACCTGCTCTAAAGCCGCTTTGATCTTCTTCTTCTTTCTCTTTATAGTCTTCTTCAATTAGATCTCGCAGTATTCTACTGTATAGTCTGCCCAGTGTACCTGTGATTAATATGCCTCGATAGTTGTTACAGTCCAGTTTATTTCCTTTTTTATGGATGGATGATATATAAGCTGTTTTCCAGTCTTCTGGAACATATAGTAATGTTCCAGCCTTTAATTTTTTCTCTTGTATTTCAGATTTTAGTAATGGATCCTTATCTGAAATAAATTTAAAGATTACAACAGCTCTAATCAGACAGGTGTGAAAAAAATGACCACAACACAGAAACACAAGAAGAATAGAAAGAACAATTGGAAACAGAAAAAGGAACTTATTACACGAGCACAGCAGCATGGTTTTGTCAAAGGACGTTCTATAATGACAAATCTTCTCTGGTGTCTTAATGAATGGTCAATAGCATTAAAAAAAAGCCCCGGTAGACATTATTTACCTCGATTTTGGTAAAGCTTTTGATCGAGTTCCAAAGCAAAGACTATTACATAATGGAACACCTTGATAACCGTGGTCAATTACCGAAATGGATGGACGCGTATTTAACAGATAGAAAGTTTTATGTTAGAGTTGGGGACGCTTTCTCAGTTGAGAGAACGGTTTTAAGTGAAGGATTAGTTTTGGGACCACTTTTATTCATAGCATACTCAAGTGATCTACAATTTCACATTAAATGCAACAAAGCTTTCTATGCAGATGACACGAAGCTATTTTCCAATCCCTCCGTAAATTTTTAGGTACTACAAGGTGAACTTGATTGCATGTGGACAAATGTGTAGTTCTTCACATAGGTAAAAATAATCCGTCTTCCTTACTCTATTAATGGGCGCGTATTAAAAACAGTGAAATCACAATTCTAAGTTGGTCGGAACATATTTTGCATATTTCTAAAAAAGCTAACAGCAAATTATATCTACTAAATAAAACTTTTGCGAAAGTGTCATTTATGAGCTCAGATCATCTGAATAAACTGTGCATTTGTCCAGTACTGGTATATTGCGGAATTGTGTGATGTCCGGTATTAGTGCGCGATCGTAATATTCTCGAACACGTACAGCAGCAGTGCACTAGGATGTCTTTTGGTCACTAAAGACCTATGTATACAGAAATACTGAATATGGCCAATCTCACTACATTTAACAACGTCGACTTCGAGGCGATTTAATTATTACGTTTCGGATAGTAAAATACAACTTTAGAAATGTGGGGGATACGTTTATACTAGACAATGACAATCGTCTTCGTGGCCACAAACTTAAGTTTAAAAAGGACTTTTTTAACAATAACAATTTTTTAGACAATTTTTTCTCTGTAATCGAAAGTTCTCGATATGAAATAACCTTCCGGCTGGGTTTATAGATGCTCCATCTGTCAATATTTTTAAAAATAAACTGGATGACCATTTGCTCCATAGTTGAACATTTAATTTGTACTAAACACTTGCTATTACCTATGTTTTTGTATATTTGTTTAGTTAGTGCTTAATATGTAACTATTGTAATGTAACCATTTAATTGCACACTAAATAATTTTGTATTCACATGGGCATATGAGTTTCGCGACCCCTGCTCAAATTTATTGTAAAATAAAATAAAAATAAAATAAATAAAATAAATATCGTCTCAAGAAATAAATAAATTAAATAATTGCGCCTATTGTCCAAATCGTAACACACGATAATTTTGTGTCAAATGGCAAAAATGGCTAAGCTTAGAGAATGTTAAACCGATTAGCGAAGACTTCAATAAAAATTGAAATTAGGATTAAACTTTTGTTTATTAAATGTAAGAATAATACATTTTTATTAACTTTTTTTGGCATTTTTTAAAGATGTTATTTATTTTATCATTAGGTTTAAGATGGTTCTTCTTCTTCTTCAAGTTTCACTTCTATCGGAGATTGGAAATCATTCTGGCAATTATAATTTTATTGGTTACTCGCCTGAATAGTTCAATTGAACTGCATCCAAACCATTCACGGAGATTGCGTAGCCACGAGATTTTACGTCTTCCTACGCTTCTTCTACCTTTGATTTTACCCTGCATTATATTCCTTAGTAGTTCGTACTTTTCACCTCTCATGATGTGCCCCAAGTATTCCAATTTCCTGATTTTTATAGAATTTAAAACTTCGCATTGTTTCCCTAGTTGTTCGAGAACTTGTTCGTTTGTTTTGCGATTCATCCATGATATTTTCAAAATACGTCGGTAACACCACATTTCGAATGCTTCTAGGTTTTTAATGTTGGATTTTTTAAGTGTCCAAGCTTCAACTCCATACAAAAGGGTAGAGAAAATATAACATCGAAGCATTCTTATCCGGAACGATATATTGATATCGCGATTACAAAAAAGTTTTCTCATTCTATTAAAAGTTGACCGCGCAATTTCAATGCGGCATTTTATTTCTTTTGTCTGATCAGTATGTTCTGTGATCCATGCTCCAAGGTATTTGTACGAAGATATTTGTTCAATTTCTGTATTACCTAGTTCTAGCTTAACTTTGATGTTTTGTGCTTTTGTTAATACCATGAACTTGGTTTTCTTCAAATTGATTTTTAGTCCATAATCGTTGCAATTGTTCCTGCCAGAAGGACGGTGTCGTCAGCATATCTTATGTTATTAAGTGGCTCACCGTTTATTATAAGGCCCTCACTGATCTCGGCAAGCACTAATTCTGAGATGGCTTCACTGTACAAATTGAATAACAAGGGTGATAAAATACACCCTTGGTGGACCCCACGCCGAATCTGGATATTCTTGGTCAGTTCGTTTTCAACTTTTACTTTTGCTGTTTGATTCCAATAGAGGTTACAGATGATTCTAATATCTCTACTGTCTATGTTTTTATTTAATAAAATTTCTTTAAGGCGATTATGCTGCACTCTGTCAAATGCCTTCTCAAAATCAATTAAACAGGCATATACTTCTTGATTAATATCTAAGCATCTCTGCGAAAGAACACTTACTGCAAACAGTGCATCTCGTGTTCCCAGTCCTTTCCTAAATCCCATTTGTGTATTACTTATGCCTTCATCTAATTTCTTATGTATTCTATTGTGAATTACCTTTAAAAACAATTTTAAGACATGACTCATTAAGGCTATGGTACGATGTTCATTGCACTCCTTTGCATTGGCTTTTTTGGGAAGCAGTATGAATGTTGACTGGAGCCATTCTTTAGGTATTATACCTGTTCTATATATGGTATTGAATAGATCCAAAAGAAAATCAATAGATTCAGTATTCACAATTTTAAGTTATTCGATAGGAACTTCATCAGGCCCGGGAGATTTACCACCTTTAGCTTGTTTCATTGCATTTTCAATTTCTTCTCGTATAATGTCAGGCCCAGTATCATCCTTAAATTTTTTTGGTGTTTCTGTTCTCTCTTTGTCTTCAAAAAAGTTGTGCTATATATAGGGTGACCATATGTACTTTTTTTAGTAGGACAGTACTTTCTTTTCAAACGCTGTCCTATTGTACTTTAAAATTTATGAAGTACACCTAAATGTACTATTTTTCTTAATTACATAAAATTAAGTCCTATTTTTTGTCCAAACAAAATATAATTATGATTCGAATTGATTCAAGAATCGATCTTTTGCTGAAGAATGAGAATCTCCTATCTTTAGCAGCAATCGATCTGCGCAGGAGTAACTTGTGACTCTCGTCGCTGCGTCATCGTCTAGTTTAGTTTATTACCGATACGCCCATCTCCCTCCCATCACTGTCGATTTCATTTCGCAGCAAGATATTATTATCTTATTTATTTAGTAAAAATATATATCTCGTCGTATGTTTATGTTTATTTGTTACTTGTGCGTTCACTGTTGATTAGTTTATTAACCTTTTGTCTTAAATTTCGTCAGTTTTTCTCGTTTTCTATATTATTTTGTGCTGTGCGGAAAAATAAACAATTTCATCATGTCACCGCCAAGAAGAAAATGCCATTTTAACGTCGAGTTGCAAGCAGAGTATCCTTTTAAGAAACAAAAATTAAATGTTTCACCGCATATTGTGATTTTCCAAATTTGTAAAAGTGATGTTGATATTTCTAACAGTGGTCGCAGTAATATCAAACAACATTTGTAAAAAAAAACACATGTTGGCTGCTAAAGCGACCTCGAAGAGCAGCAAATTGGAAACCTTTGTTAAAAAAGAAAATTTAAGTTCTGAAAATGTTGATTGCTGCCAAGGAAGGTACTTTTGCTTACCATAGAATTAAGCATTTGCAAAGTTTCAGATCCTCAGACTGCACGTCAAAACTAATTGTAAGCATGTTTGAACCTAAATTTGCGGCAGATCAAACCAAGACTGAGGCGATTGTAAAAAATGTTTTAGCTCAAGAGGCTCAATCCCAATGGAATCCCTAGAAATTTTCCTTCTAAAAGCAAATTTCGTCAGCATCACAATCGATTCGTCGAATCATAGAGAAATGAAAGTTGTGCCCTTAATGGTAAGATATTTTGATGGAGAAAATGGTGTCCAAGTAAAATTACTTCAGCTACGTGACTTACTTGGTGAAACAGAGCAGTTAAAAGATAACGTGGTCAATGTTTTGAATTACCATAATCTACAACAAAAATGCATCGGAATGTCTGCTGATAATACAAATACAAATTTTGGTGGAATGAGAAGAAAAGGAGTGAACAATCTATTCAGCAAATTAAATGCTTCTTGTGGTAAACTCGTGATTGGAATTGGTTGTGTGGCACACATTTTTAATAACTAAGCAGTTTTGCGATTTTGTTGATATCGAGTACAAAAAAATGTTGTTGTTTTCAAAAACAAGATTTTTGAGCCTAATTTTTTTTTTTTTTCGAACCCAATCAGTGAAGCATGGATGTGGATTGTGCATAACATTGCGCCTCTTTTCCACAAAGTGATTTTAGATGTAGAAGGTGACAAAATATGCGCAACGGAAGCCGTTTTGGAGTATTTCGAACTCATAAATAAGCTTCAAAATCGCTTATATGAGTTATTTTTACCGCTTAAAGTAAGAGAGTTACTTTCAAAACTTGAAAATATGGAAGACATTGACCTTAGTGTGAACTATCGGGATATATTTATCACGCATGTCAAGCAGTTCTATTCAAATGGTGTAACATATTTAAAAAACTGGAGTGAAAATTTAAGTAAACTAAAGCTATTCGGATGGGTTAACTTAAAAAACAAGTTTCTTTGGCTGAAATTGTATCGTCGTGTGAGTCTTTCAAAGACTACATAGGTCCGATATTGAATCAGGACGAACTGTTTGATAAAGTTAGTCTAATACGAACCTACGTTACAGAAGATAAAATCACAGACTGGAATTCGAAAAATATTTCTACCGAAGATCGATGGCTCGAAATCTTCCAAAAAGAAAGTGCTTTGAAAAATCTCAAAATTCTGTATGAGTTTCTTTTTTGTCTGCCTGGGACCAGTGCGTCGATTGAGCGGTGTTATCAAGTATCAATAACTATTGGAATCCCAACAAATCGCAGTTGAAAATATCTACTCTGGAAGCAATCATGCAAGTCTACACAAACTTCAAAGTTTCGTGCAATGAAATGGTTTAGTTCTTAAAGAGTAAACCACAACTTCTGAAGAAAATTCATAGTTCCAAAAAGAACGACTAGTACCAAAAAATGATCAAGATGTTCAGGAAGGAACGTCGAAAGAAAATTAACTATTAAAATTTATCATACATTTTTTATGTACGTATGTTTGATTAAAAAAAAATCATTCTTATCATTGTTTCATTAAATATTCGTAAAATTTTGAACAGAAAAATTTCCTAGGGCACTAGCAGTGTACATATTTTCTTAAAAATTATAAATGTACTTTTTTTTTGTTGAAACTTTATGGTCACCCTAGCTATATATTGTGTCCATCTCTGCATTTTTTGGTTTATATCTGTTACAAGTGCACCACTTTCATCTCTTAGTTGCCTAGTTTGAAGTGTTTTTTCTCATTCCTAAAGATGGTTAAGATGTATTAAAAATAAAATAAAAAAGATTGTACATATATCGATTAGTTTTATTTTAATCAATCACAGACCCACCCGACTGGTCTTAGGTCCTCCAAAGTTGTATCTGGAGACTAATTGATTGTATGGTAGTACTTAATTTTTTTCGTTACAGCTGTCTTTAATTCATTGACTTTGGAGAAATATCGTGCATATTGGAACATTTTTTGGTTTTTTAAATACTTTTTGCTTATTTGTAATATTGTTGTTTTGAGCAACCACAAAACATATTCTATCTATTGTCTCTTTTTAACCTAAGTCTAGTCAATGGTCGCTATTTACGACATCAATATTTTTATTAGAATTTATCGCGGAAGACCACAGTAAACACTTAGGCCAATCAAGTTAGGTTTTTACTCATCACAAGTGTATAGACGGGTTTGACAGTTGAAATAAGTAGTATGGGATATTACAAAAAGACTCTCATCTAGGGATTGATGAATTTTTTAGTGGAAATATTTTTAAATAAACAATTAAAACGTCAATATCATTATTTTGCTCATAACTTATAAACTTGTCTATTTAGAGATTTGACGTCCACAGACAAGTTGTTGAGAAAAAAAAATACACAAAATGAGATATACTAAATTAAAATCGGTTAATAAACAAAAAAGTTATTGCATAATAACCAAGCAAAACCACTGTTTTTGATTATTGTTAATTACTCTTTTATTAATCAATAAAATTTATTTAAATGTATCTGAACTTAAAGACCTTATCGTGTTCGAAGTGTGTGCGAAAGATAGGCTAGATCCGTCAAATAGTTTTTGCACAATTTAATTTGTTTATAAGATTTTTTGAAAAATGCACAAATTTTCTAAGGCCGGTCCAGATAATTTGACTGAATGGATCTTAATAATCCGGGCTTATTTTCTTTGTTGAGACATATATTAATATCCTATGGAAAAAAAAGTTAAAAAAAATTACGTTTATGTACACAAAATGATTTAACAATAAATAGCACTTTTTAAGCTTATAAACATTTACAATAACTCCGTACTATTTAGTTTAAATTAAATGGCAATAAAATATTCGGAAAGCTGGTTAAAAAACACAACTTAAAAAAAAAAGAAAAAGGTCCTGCGACCATTAGGAGCCGAGTTAGTCCTTTTTTTTTTAAATCACTGTAAAAGTCAAAGTTTTTAACAAAATATTTAGCAAACAAAATAATTGAAAATTGATTAAACAGGAGTGTTGTAAACCAAGAGTACTTTGCGTTCCGACTCAAATGGAAGCAGTGGGGATTGCCGATTGCACTCAAGCCGCGCTCTAAAAAAAGTCGAGCGTCGAGCGCACGTCGAAAGCAGATGCTGTTAGGCCGTTAAGTACAACTCATTTTCCTGCGACTATACAACCGGTTTGTTGTATTGAAATATTTAGTGTTTTGTTTTATTTAATAATTGTTACAAATAATTAATGGTAAGTAAAATTCATCTGAATATTAAAAAAAACTACGTGTTGTGATATATATTAATATAAAACACATGGTTGTACCACGTTGTCTGAATAATATACGGTTAACTTTGAATATAATATTATTTTACTATTATAATGTACTAATATTTATGAAATTATTAATGAAGAAGAAAACGATACAACAGATGAACAAGAGATAATTGATGAAATGTATTTAACTGGGTTTGATGAGAATAGCGACAACGAAAATGAAATGATTTATGAAAGTTATAATACAAGTGAAATTGAAGATGAAAGTGAAGATGAATGTTTACATAGTAGTAGCAGTGACGATATAGAAATTAAGCGTAGAAAATTACAGTAAATTAAATTATTTTAAAAAATCACTACACAAAATTTCAACTTCTGTAATAACATAAAATTAATTTATTATTTCATTAATAAATTTTTAGTAAACATTATTCAAAATGTTCATTTACTTATAACATTTATTTAATATAATCATATTTGAAATAAATAAATAGAAAAATAACAATAAAAAGACGACTTAAGAAAAAGTTTGTACATTCCGTAGTCATTAGCTGCTTTGTTTTGAATAATTTTGCAATGAAAGTACGTTAAATGTTATTATTTTAACGTTGTACCCCAGTTTAAAAAAAAAAGAACAAATTTGGTCCACTAGAACCCGAGATATGTCATTTTTTTCCAAGCACTCTATTTTGAAACCGTGCGCTCGACTTTTTTGGAGAGCGCGGCTTGTGTGCAATCGGCAATCCCCACTCCTTCCATTCTAGTCGGAACGCAAAGTACTCTTCGTTTACAACACTCCTGTTTAAACAATTTTCAATTATTTTTTTTTGCTAAACATTTTGTGAATAACTTTGACTTTTCTTCTAAAAGATTGGTTAATTTCAGCCCTTAATGTTGTTAATTGACGTAACAGTGATTTAAAAAAAAAAGGACTAACTCGGCTCCTAATGGTCGCAGGACCTTTTTTTTTTAAAGTTGTTGTTTTTTAAACCCGCCTTCCGAATATTTTATTGCCATTTAATTTAAACTAAATAGTACGGAGTTATTGTAAATGTTTATAAACTTAAAAAGTGCTATTTATTAATAAATCATTTTGTGTACATAAACGTATTTTTTTTTAAATTTTTTTTCCACAGGATATTAATATATGTCTCATCGAAGAAAATAAGCCCCGGATTATTAAGATCCATTCAGTCAAATTATCTGGACCGGCCTTAGAAATTTGTGCATTTTTCAAAAAATCTTATAAACAAATTAAATTGTGCAAAAACTATTTGACGGATCTAGCCTATCTTTCGCACACACTTCGAACACGATGAGATCTTTAAGTTCAGATACATTTAAATAAATTTTATTGATTACTAAAAGAGTTATTAACAATAATCAAAAACAGCCGTTTTGCTTGGTTATTATGCAATAACTTTTTTGTTTATTAACCGATTTTAATTTAGTATATCTCATTTTGTGTATTTTTTCTTTCTCAACAACTCGTGTGTGGACGTCAAATCTCTAAATAGACAAGTTTATAAGTTATGAGCAAAATAATGATATTGACGCCTTAATTGTTTATTTAAAAATAGTTCCACTAAAAAATTCATGAATCCCTAGATGAGAGTCTTTTTGTAATATCTCATACTATCCATTTCAACTGTCAAACCCGTCTATACACTTGTGACGAAAAAACGCTTATTTTCTACTAACTTGACTCGTCTATAATTTTTCGTGCAAAAAAGCTTTCTTTATTAGTTATTTGTAAAAACGCTATGATTTTAAAACATATTTCATTGGAAATAAGGCTTAATACAACAGCAATAAAGTGTCCAAGT